GGGGGGGGGGGGGGGGGGTGGGGGGTGGGGAGGAATTTAAGGGAAGGAAGATTCACAGTGGAAATGGGAGGGTCCGAGCGGAGTGTGAGAACCCCCAATACCCCATTTTCGGAAAAGACAGACGCCTACTGTTTTTGTGTTTTCTTTTAATCTGAAAAAAGAAAGAAAACTCGACACCATTTATTGTTGGCATACAGTGTAACGCTTAATCGTCGTCCGTAGAGGCCTTTTTCTTTTTTTTCCTTTTTTTTCAGGGAATCTAAATTACTTTATATTCTTTTTTAATGTTTATACCTGGAGCACTTGCAGGGATTCTCGCCAATAATTCATGATGAGCAAAAAAAGATTCTCTCCAGTAATCGCATGGATCTAAAATTACGAATATTTAAATTAGTGGTTGGACTCGCGTATCGATCGATCAATAAATGGTTGTGATGTAGGAATCGAACCGTTTTAATTAAAAGCACCACCGCAGGAGAGTAATTAATCCCCCCCCCCCCCCCGCCGTTAGGCCTTGCCAGTTAGAATCTACTGGTATTACTACCGCTGCATTCTATAACTGAAACGTACTTCTTTTTCGCTGCTATGTGTTTTGTCCAAAAATGTGGATGTTTCGATGAGCTAAAGAAATCAACATCACCTAACCTCTGTAGCTATCGTTCCTTTGTCGTCGTGGCTGGGAGTATGCTTCGGCTCCAACACAGTGCTGACCCACAGACGCATCAAGTAACGAAGTCGATGCAACAGCAAGAAGCATTTCGCCGAGTGGCTTCATGGCCTAGTAATCATGAAAGCAGCGGTCAGAATTAATGGAAAGCCCATTATGTATACGCTTCCAAGTGGGTAATCATCTCCTTCTCATCATCCGTTCACTCGAAAACTAATAATGTACTTTTGATATGTATGTGTTCTTTTCAAGCAAAGGTGGTGTATACAGACAATGATTCCTTTCTTTTCCCGAGGAATCGCCAAGCAAAGGTGGTGTAGAGAGACGAGCCAGTACTGATTTCTTTCTTTTCCCGAGGAATCGCCAACGGGAGAAGATGATGATATTGTCTTTGATCGGAAGCTACTCTTTGGGCTGGAAAGATGATCGGAACGGTCTGTCTTACGCTGCAGGATCACAACTCTTCAGAGGAAATTTAATGGAAGAAAAAGTTAATCAGAAGATTGATTTAAAATGTGGAAAAGACTGCAAGTTTGCTCTGCTACAGCCTCCATTACAAAATTATCACAACTCTACATTAGTATATTATCTTCACTTTGTGCAACAGAGGGAATAGGCGGGCTCATGCATGGGTCACAGGCAGATAGATGCCTGTCCGGAGTTTGTGAAGGAGAAGATATATCATGGGAGTTGATCCATATTCCATCCTCGAAAGAGATGGACTGTACTTGGATTGGCAGGGAGAGCATGGGGCGTACGTACGGATCTAAATAAAGTTAAGGGGTGCCTTCTTCACGAGGCAGGCAGGCAATGGAGACGATACCAAGCTGGCCACCATCATCCGTTTGCTTCTCACACAGCTTATCCTCCTCCGATGCTATATATCATATCGATCCACTGTCCTAAACTCCTAAGCAAGACAACATACATGAGCAACAGAAAATAAATAAAGCCGCTGGAAACAGAGTGTCACCGACGGCCAACCACGGCAAAACGTATTCGAAGGAGTCAGATCAAACTTCCTCCAAAAGCCACCATATAATAAACCAAAGAAGCAAAGCGATATACATCGTTATCGAAAATTCATTTTGCAAACGTATACGTATGCTTGTTATCAAATCTAAATCTCGTCAGATTCCATCCAAAAGCACAACAGCTAGCCTATAGAATATGGAGAGAGAGCGAGCGAGCGAGAGAGAGAGAGAGAGAGAGAAAGAATATTTCTTTTTCCCGGTGACTTCATCCGATCAGGGGTCAACGAAAGAATGATCATTTATTATGACGATAAGATTAAGTAAAACCAATGCCATCTTATAAATATAACTAAGATTACTTACTTAATGTTGGGCTGATGGCCCATATTCAGCCCATGTGGGCTTTATCAGCCCACAGCCCACACCCTCTCTTAACCTAACCCTAATTAAGATTAGGGGGGTGTGGTGGCTGCGTTTTAGAGGCAGATTAAGGCTATAAAAAGGCAGCAACGAGGCAGATCTTTGAGGCCACGAGATTCCAAAGAGAAGAAGGAGATCAAGGCAGAAAAGGAAGAGAAAGAAAGGGAAGAAGACAAGGACAACGCAGAGAGACTGTTCACAATCATCTAGCAGTGTTCTCATCTCAGGTTAGATATTGTGGGCAGTGACGTGATCCTTGTATCCCAGTTATTCTCTTGTGATTGTTGCTAGGGTTTTGGGCAAGAGATTAAGATTTGTATATTCATTATTCTCATAGTGGATTATCTCTAGTTTGCCCCGTGGTTTTTACCCTTCACATTGAAAGGGTTTTCCACGTATATCTTGGTGTTCTGTTTGATTGTGTTTTCATTTTATTCCGCTGCGTATTTTGGTCTTCTAGTATTTGTTCCTATACAAAGGTTATTCCTCTTTTTATCCCCATCACTTAATACCCTTAATTTAAATCGTTTTTATAGAAAATATATATGTTGATTTTTTGACATTAGGATTGATACGACAACGACAATGATCCTTGTTATCTTATGCAATCGCTCGTCTCTTTTAGCTACCATTTTCTTTGGACCACCTCTCTCCTCCGTTGCTCATCTCACTTCAATCGTCATTCTCTCTCCACCCCCTCTCCTCCGTTCTCACACACATCATCCCTTCACCGAGTATTATAATAAATAAAAAATGAGTTCGAAAAATCAGAACACGGTACAGAATGGACTTACTGTGATAGCAGAACTACCAAATGATATTTTGATGACTAGAAAGAAAAAAAATCAATTTTGGCCTCTCATAAATTCATATTCATCCGCTATTTTGGCCAAGGTTTTTGGCTTGGCTTCCACAGCCTGAAACCTTCATTTGATCCAACATTTATTTATTTGACGTTAGCAACACGCGTGGGTGACCCGTTCGGTGACGTTCCGACGAGTCACGTAGCACAAGTTAATAGATATTTTTATCTGAAGAATAGTCATGGATGGATGTCGATTCGCCTGGTTTGACTAAACTAATGCTTTTCTCTTTCAGTCTGAAGGCACCAGAATATTGAAGCACAACAGCCAAATTACTGGGACCAAGGCTGTGGTCCTGATCCTAGAGACGAACACAACTTTTGTAACCCAAGCATATTTATTTGGTGAGTTTCTTTTAATGCCAAAAAAAACAAAAGGTTATCATGGAGGAGTTCACCGGCAAGGAGCAAAAAAACTCATGGAGTCACGTCCCGAGGACACAATAGTATACATTTTCGTCATTACAAAAATAAAGGGCCAAAAGGATTTCAATAATGGTTGGCCTCTACATCCTCTCCTTGTCAGTAATCGGAAATTTTTTGAGAGGTTTTGTCTTCGTCTACAAGAGACGCATCACGAGACAGCTGTAGGAAAAAGGAAGCTGGTATCGGACGACGAGAGGCGGCTAAATCAATGACTGGGTCTCCTTCGCACATACTAAGACACCGACTTTGGATAATCACAAAACTTGGGTAAAAGGCTGTGATCACTCGCCTTAGATATAAAAGAGGCCTCAACCTCGACCTCGACCCGACACAAATATCCTTCCCGTCCTCCTTTCCTCCGCCGCTGCAGTTCGAACCCAAATGGCAGCGATGTCGACGCCGACGCCGGCAACGTTCGATGGCCCTGTCGTGGTGGTCGGGCCGCAGTTCTGCGCTCCCCACGTCGTCGATCTCACCGTTACCAAGAAGGCCCTCAGCTTGACGGACAGCGACTTCGCCGTGACGGACGTCAACGGCAACGTGGTGCTTAAGGTGAAGGGCGTCTTCTTCAGCCTCCGCGATCGGTGCGTCCTCCTAGACGCCGCGGGAAATCCTCTCCTCACCCTGCAACAGAAGGTCAAACCTTTACCCTTTCTTCCCAGCAACACTGGTATGCGGTCGCAATTCTTCTGTGGCTGCTCGACAAGCGCCCTCGATAGATTTCAAGTTTCGCTGAATTCTGTAGAAATCAGCTTTTGCTTGTTGTTGTGATTCACTTGTCGCGGAGTAGTGCTTCGGAAAGCAAAGCGGTGGTGATGATAATTACTATGATGGCCTCTCAGATTTTGAGTGCGCACCGAAGATGGCAAGTGTTCAGAGGAGAGAGCACAGATTCGAAAGACCTGCTGTTCAGCGTCAAGAAGTCCAGGCTGCTGCAATTTAAGACCGAGTTACATGTGATCATGGCTTCCAACACCAACGAGGAGGCGTGTGATTTCAAGATCAAGGGGAGTTACTTTGAGAGGTCATGCACTGTTTATCTCGGGGAATCCAACTCCATCGTAGCCCAAGTAAGAGAAATAATAATAATTAATTATCATCTGTATTCTCACCATCTAATTGATGATGTATATTGATTTGATTTTTCTGTAGATGAGCCGTAAATACACTGTGAAGAACGTGTTACTTGGAAAGGATACGTTCGGTGTGACCGTGTACCCGAACGTGGATTACGCCTTCGTTGCATCGCTCATCGTCATTCTTGACGAAATAAACAAAGATAGATCGGGGCAAGACTGAGACTGTGTCGGCTGGTGGTATTGGTTTAATCCGTAAAGATTAGACTATCGTAAGATTCCTATCTTTTTATTTATATTTTGATTAAAATAAAATAAAAATATAAAAATTAGATCGTGTGGTGTCTTTTGCTATGGGCCCGCCCGTATAATTAATTCTCAGATGAGTTGACTGTAACGTATTTTTACTCTGTTATGAGCGCATATAGAATATTGTCTCACATGCTTTTTTATACTATCTTATCTTCTGAATGAAGTTACTAGCGATCTAATATAAGAAAGAGTACATCTCGCACCTGATGCTGATTTAGCTGCCTGCCATCCGATCCTCGTTCGAGAACACGACCACTGTCCTCCCCGACGACTCCAAAGCTGAAATCTTCATCAGTAAATAAAAACAACTACAGCTACATAAACAAATCAACTTCGCCATGGTAACCTTGCAAGTAAACGTCGAAAGAACCGAGTTACCCTGTTTGTGCTGGCTGTGATATCGACAAGGAGCACAAGCTGGCTCTCGAGTTCATGCCGCGCTCCGGATATCGGTACGGGTCCATTATTGAATCCGAGTTTGGGACGGTGTTGGTTTGATGGGAAAAGTGTGCCATGTAGCTCCTGGATAGATCGCCAGCAGTACCAGATTCATGAACCTACTACAGGCTTCTTCCTATCGTCGTCCTCATCCAAATCTCGAACATGCCAGCAGTACCAGATTCATGAACCTACAGACTTCTTCCTATCGTCATCCTCATCCAAATCTCCACGTAATCAAACAACTACATGATTAATGATGATCCTAATCCAAGGGGTCTATGATTAATCTACCGTAAATCACACGCCACGCCACCAAATTAATAAAAATCATAATAAATGTAAATATAGAGTGATAGTTTTATATTTTTTTATATACTCTAATCCTCGATTAATGATTTAAGGATTAATCATCCTATTTTCTCTTTCTCA